AAAAAAAAAAAGAATCTATGAAACCACTGTGCTATGATTTCCCAGAGACCAAGGGCATTATTTTCTTAAAATGAGCAACCACACACTGGCCTTCCATTGATTTTTTTTTTTTCATGAATGGTATCATCATATAAATGTAAATTTTATTCCTGCACTCTTCAGCCTTCCCTGATATATTCTGTCCTTGGAGATATATGATCTATATTCACTGAGTGAACAAAGCTACTCAATTCTCTTAGTATTTTGCTTAAAGAGAAAGGATAAATATGCAAATTTTGGTCACAGAGAAAACTGCTTTATAAAAATGTGTTGTTGTTGTTGTTATGTGCTGTCAAGTCGGACCCGACTCATAGCCACCCCTCCTTGGGTTTCCAAGGCAGTATCATTACAGAAGTAGATTGACCCATCTTCCTTCCATGGAGTGGCTGGTGGGTTTGAACCTCCAGCCTTCTGGTTAGCAGTCGAGTGCCTTAGGCACTACGCTACCGGAGCTCCCTCAAAGAAATGTATAACCCCCAAAATCTTAGCATTCCAATCAATTAACATTGCTAATAAATAACAACATTAATGGCATACTTGTATAGCGGAATGAAGAGTTTATTGGAATAAAATTATTTGAAACCCCACCTATGTTGGGGAGAAATGCAAATACATAAATTTTATCAATAATGCAATTTGGGTTATCCATTAATTTTACAAAGTCAGTTCATCAGCCAATGTTTGAGGACCGTAGAGGAAAAGAGAAGGTGTTAATTAAGGAATATTAGGATAACTTTCAATGGAGAAATCAAGATAGTACATGATCTTACTTTAGAATCTTACTGCATTGCATAAACAGGTTTGACCAATAAAGACATGAATCAGTAGAAGCCGGACCTATAGATTGATCATTAACAAGATGACTGGAAATTTCTAAAAGGAAAATAGGTTGGGTGGCAGAGACTGGATCCATAGATGAGTGAAGGGAAGCCACAGATTCTGTGACTCAAGGGTCTAAAGCCACTGGATCTACAGCCAAGTGAATAGCAGCTTCTAGATCCATAGCCTAAGGATTGACAACTTCTGGAACTGAAGTCTAGAGATCTAGTGTAAGTCCTCAGGCAAGGACTGCAGAGAGTGGAGGTCCTTGGGAGGTAGCAGGAGATCTGGCAGGGGCTGGACACCACACGGGAAGTCTGGCAGCTTCTGGGCTCACAGCAGTTCTCCTGGAAGCCCCTGTAGAGAGAGGAGCCCAGTTGACAGGTGCTAGGAGAGCAAAGATCAGTACTGTAGATCAGCTTCCTGAGAGAGGAAGAGCCACATGAGGTGACTGGATAGTGAAGGCAGCCCTCCAGAGAGCGGGAGGAGAAGTTCCCAGAGCAGCAGTTATAGGACATGTTGACAGGAGATGGGAATTCAGCTGAGTTACACTGAGAAGATTTTGAGTTTTAATGTCAACTTCTGGACTAGGGCATTTATATACTCTCAGTAATAGGTGTGGTACCTTATAGGATCATCCTTTTATTATGTGCACTCCCTTATTTAGATATGTGTAACTCAATAATCTTCTCTGTAATTGCATTTGAATAGTTTCACACATATTATATTAATGGCTGCTATAATTTGTTGTTACAGCACCAAGCCAATGAACTGCTCTCTGTCAGAAATGCTGTAATTGTTTGACAATGTTTATCTCATTATGGCCAGGAAATCCATGCTTTTTCCTCTTACAATATTTCATGTGTCTTGTTTCTGGCTATTCTGGGTGAGTACTTTCCTCTAAAGTGTAGGGAATAAGATAACATATTATACTTTTTCTATCACTGGATTACATACAAGGAGCTCTGGTGGGATAGACCCTACGGCACTTGACTGCTAATCAGAAGGCTGGTCGTTCAAACCCACAAGCCACTCCTCAAAAGAAAATTGGGCAATCTACTTCCTTAGAGATACCACCTCAGAAACTCAAGATTAAATGCACTAGTTAGGGCTTAAGGAGAAATCTACTAACCTATCTTCATTCTTTCTCATTCTCTAAAATTCTTGTCCATCTATTCCATCCTATTAACCTCATGTGTCTCATGTGTCTCATGAATGGTGAGAAATATTAGTCAAGACAAATTGAATGTCAGTGATGGCTAGGACAAGAGAAAAACTTGGACAATATTTAAACATATGGTGACAGGAAGGGACAAAATTGAAACCGTTACAAGTGGAGATCAATTTGGACCCTTATAACAAAAGTTAAAGAGCTTCATTCTGTTGTGATGAGGGAAACAAACAATTATGTTATAGATTTAATGTATCCAATCTGAGTCCTGTGGTCATGTCAGATTCTCATCTGTATATGTGGCAGCCCTGAAAATACAATGATTATATCTGCAACTATTGTTACCTGTTTTCAAGTAAGCCCCAGACTCATGACAACACCATGCACAATTGAACGAAACACAGCTCAATCCTGCACCCACCATCCTCATGATCCGTTGTAGAAAAAACCATTGTGATCCATAGGGTTTCCATTGATTTTCAGAAATATATTGCCAAAATTTCTTCCTAATCGCTTTTAGTCTGGAAGTGCCTCTGAAATCTGTTCAGTATTAAAACAACTGGCAAGCTGCCACTGACAGATAGGTGGTGACTACACTTGGTCAGTGATTTTTAGCTTCTTTTCTTTTAAAAAGTATGTATTTAAAACTATGGCTTTCCCACTATATATGATTTAATTGTGCTATGTTTCATATTTTCTTTCTTCTTTGAGCACAGATTACTTAGAAGCAAATTACTTAATTTCCATATTATAAGAATTTATTAGTTAATATTGCTGTTGCTATGGTTTTTAAACTTAAACCACTATGGTCAGAGAATCTACTCCACTTTTGGAAGCTGGTGAAAATTGTTCTCTGCCCCAGCTTATGACCTACTTTGGTAAATGTTCTGTGGACACTTGAAAATAATGAATATTCTGAATTTGCTGAGTGTAATGCTCTATGCATTTGAATTAGATCAGACTTGTTAATCAGGTTGTTCACATTTGCTTTGCCCTGACTGTTTGTCTTCTGTTTCTATCAGTTAATGATAAAAGACATGTTAAATTTCTAATTGTCATTGTGGATTTGTATATTTCTCTATTTTATTTGTTATTTTTGTGTCTAATGACCTCTGTCACCATTTTCTGTTTTTGAACTTTGAAATGTGTAATGTTTCTTGAATCTATGTGTCAAAGAGTATGTAGGTGCACTTTGTTGTTTGCATGCAAAATGCTTATTTACATGTCAGTGGAAGCAACTACTATCAGACTTTGTCTTTAAGACACAAAAGCAAACCAGTATTTATAAGACACTTGAGAGAGGCTAGAGAAGGAAAAAACAGTCTGAGAATATTTAAACTTGTTTATATTATTTTGAGATTGAAGTCATTTGTTGCTGGATAACAAAGAATATACAGTAGACATTCTGTTCTTGAGGATGCTATCTAAACTTAACAAAGATTATTTTTAATTATTATTTTTTATTGTGGGTTGCAGAAGAATTATCTGACTCACGGTGACCTTATCTATAACAGAACAAAATGTTGCCTGGTCCTGTGTCATCTTCATAATTGTTGGTATGTTTGAGTCAATTGTTGTGGCTGCAGTGTTAGTCCATTTCATTGAGAGTTTCCATTATTTGCCCTCTACCTTACCAAACATTGTGCATTGTGTCATTTTCTAAACCCAAACCAAACCAAACCCACTGCCTTGGAGTCAATTCCAGCTCATAGCAACCCACATTGAGTTTCCAAGGTACTACATTTTTACAGAAGTAGATTGCCCAGTCTTGCTTCCATGGAGTGGCTGGTGGGTTTGAACCACCAACCTTCTGGTTAGCAGTCAGACGCCTTAGGAAATTATGTTGTGCTACCAGAGTG